GTAACGTAACAGGTTAAATATGTTTCTTTTTTTCCTTTGTGATTTAAAAAAAAAAAAAGAGATTGAGAAAAAAAAAATAACATTGAGGTTTTATTTTTGTGAATCTTAAAACGCTAGTATTTTAGTGCGAGTCATATAATTTAAAATTTTATTATATATATATATATTTAAAATTTATATAAATAAATATTTTTATATATAAATTATAAATTATTATAAATAATTTATATTGTGTTATAAGATTATTCTTAATTATTAATATTTTATTTTAATGATATCATAGATTCATATTATATATCATATATAAATATATTTACAAATTCGTAAAATAGGTTTGAATAACGGTGTCAATCATTGCTAACTTCTTTTTTTACTTCTTCTGATCATTATGATCTTGCTAAAGAAAATTATTATTTCTAATTTTCTAATTTATTAGTTTCAATTTATTTAATTAAATTATATTTTTGGTCTTTTATTTTTTAATATGTAATTCTAATTCATTTATTTTAAAATAGATACTTATTTCTCTTAATCTTAAAAATATAAAATTTTTGACCTATCATTAATTTGATAGTCTTTGACTATAAAATATAAGAGTTGATTCATGACCTATTACCGTTTAAGTAATATGACATTTAGTAACATATTATTAGGGATAAACTTTAGATCTAAAAAGATTGTTTTTTTTTTTGTGGTTTCATTGAAGGCATCTAAATCTTCCCCTTAAGCTAAGATCAAGTTGTAGGAGCAAAGATTCTAGTCTAAGGAACTTGAATTTGTAGAGAGAAGTCAATCCTTGAGGGTTTGTTAATTCTTCCTTTTTCTTTAGTTTCTTGCTTTTGGAAAACAAATTATGGTAAAAGAAGCTTGTTGTTTGATTCCTTTAAGTTGTGTGTGTTGAAATCGTTGTTAAACTCTCCAATTGTAGCTTTAATTGTTGATTTCAAAGTAGTTGTTGAATGTGTAGATAAAGTTGAGGTTTTGGGGAGGATGAATCCAAAACCCAAATTTGTTGATTTCTTGATGAATCTATGTTGCATGTTGGGATTGTTGTTAGATTCTTATTGTTTACTAAAAGACTATCCTTAGAAGTCAAACTAGATACCATAACATAAGGAGCAAAGAATTGAGTCTAGAACGAGAGCTCATGCATTCTTGAGAAAGAACTCTTTAAATAGAAATTGGTTGACATATGACCATGCAAACTTACTCATTGTTTCATTGATCCACACCTATACTTGAAAATAGTTAGCAAAGTTGTCAATTATGTAGTTTTGTTTCTTTCTCTACCAAATATTCTTGTTATTACTCCATGTCACCCTACTCATAATGTATGTCTATGTTTTCTTCTATCCATATTTTCCTTATGAGCAAAAAATTTCAAGGGCAAAATTTCTTAAGAAGGGAGAATTGTAACAGCCTAAATTTTTTACTAATATAATATTTTAATTCAATTTATTTTAATATTTATTTGGGTTATTTTCTTATAATTGTTTTAATTAATTAAATGAGTTTTATAAAATATTTTAGAGGCTTTTAATAATTATGAGTTTTTTATTAATAACAAAAATTTATGAAGCTATTTTGTTATAGAAAGTATGTGTAGAAAATATATGTTTTAACTATTTATGTAATTAAATATATTTTGGAAAATATGTGTTTCATTATAATTGTTTATATAATTTTTTATTAATAATTGAGTTGGGAGAAATGTTTATTTGATATATTATTTATTTATAAGTTTTAATATATAAGGGAAATGAAAAGAGAATCATGATTAAATATTTTTACTAAAGGGTTAAATGAGGATTAAGTTTTTAAAAAAGGGGTTACATCAATTTCTTATTTTCACGTTTCTTATTACTTTCTTTTACATTTCATGCTTTGGAAAATAAGGAGAACTAGAGACCGCTAGAGAACACCTCCACGTCCATCTTCTAGAGCTCATCAAGGTAAGATAGAAGTGAATAGTCTCACTCTAAACGTGGAGTATATGTTAGGTAGTCAGATTGACCATCAATCTCTTATCTATTCTTATATGTTGTAAGGGAGGAATACCAATTTTATCTTGTAATCTATGAATTTGTGCTTTGTACTCTTTGTATGTGTTATATGTGATGTTTGAATTATATGTATAGTTAATACCATATAATTTAAATTGCTTGAAAATATGTGAATGTATATAATTCTTGTAGGAAACCCTTGATTTATAAAGTAAAGTGAAAATTGATATTAATTGCATGAATATGTGAAATTGAGGTTGGATTTGAGTAATTGATGGTATAATAGCATAATATTAGGCTTTAATCGTGGTTTTTACTAATTGATTTAGAGTTTTAGGGTTTAGGGTTCATAATGTGCAATTTTTGCACATCTTGTAAGTCTTTCCTGAACTGGTATTGCATTGGGTACCAAATGGGCCGCACCAAGAGTCATTTAACATTGTTCCTATATCATTTCGCGTTGGACATGACTTCAGCCATGCCGAGCACAGTACTCTTGAAAGATTTTTGCCTTCTCCATGTTGGGTGCAAAAATCGATACACTAAGCATAATAACATCAAATCAGGTTTTGTGGTCTTTATATGAATTGTAACCCTAAATATCAACTTTCCAAAGCCACTGGAATCGCTTAAAAAAGGGATCTAGAACTCAAGTTATAATCAAATTAGTGAATGAATGTCAAGTTGTTAAATTTAGGCTAAAACGCTATAATTTTGTAATTCTTAAAAATAGTAGGTGGCAAAATTAACTCTTAAGGTCAACATAGAAGTTGTATATAATTTTCTTAACTTTCTAATAAAAATTAAGATCAACTTCATAGCATATATATAGCTCTAGATAAAGTGTTTGGACCACATGATGTCTTAGAAGCTTAAGTTATGGAAATGTAGTTTGTAAATGGTGATGGTGAATAACTTTACCCTTTAAGAGTTTGATCTTATGAATGGTTGAGGTACCTATATCAATATTTAAGAAAAATAAATCACGAGAGAAAATAATTGTTAATGTTATAAATTAATTTGATTGTTAACGACTTGAGGTGTTTTGGTGATAGTGATGTCTAAGAACCTAACGTGTGATATCAATATTGTTGTTAGACTAGTTAAATCACTACAAGAAATTCGTTATTTTGCGGCGGTTTTTTCTTCATTTTGCGGCGGTTTTTGCCCCCCTCAAAATAAATAATGGCGTTTTAAAAAAACGCTGCAGTTACGTTCGCCACTAGCATTATACGGCGATATTTACCAACCTCCGCTACCTTTTTGCATTCTGCGGCGTTTTGTTTAGCGGGGGTTTTTGACCTCCTCAATTTGAATGATTTTTTTTTTAATTTCACAATATATTTTATTTTTTTAATCTAAATTACATTTAACCTGTATAAAAAAAATAAGGAGATACTCATAACATAATCCAAATTCCATTGTTTAGCGGGGGTTTTTGACCTCCTCAATCTAAATGATTTTTTTTTTTAATTTCACATTATATTTTATTTTTTTAATCTAAATTACATTTAACCTGTATACAAAAAAATAAGGAGGTACTCATAACATAATCCAAATTCCATTGGATAATATTAACTTTTTTATAAGAGAAAAAAATTAATGGGAATATACAAACTATCAATAGAAACCCATAATATAGACAACAAGATGTCAAATAAAAAAGACAATAACAACATAAAAAACAATGGTAATCAAACATTTGATATCTGTTACAAAACTATAAAAGAGTAACAACAATCAAAGCAAATTCAGAAGTCCAAGTTGACAGCAAATACAACACCACAATATATAACCAAAAGAAACAAAGTTTTTACAACACTATAAATCCAAAAATCATGATAACCTAAAGCAGTCTACAATATAAGAAACCAAGTCTAAATATTAGACTGGCTATTCAAGTTGCTACCACCAGATGATCCTCTAGCATCTAACGGCGATTCAGGTTCACTTCCAACGTCACTAGGCTGAAATAAGAAAAATAAATTAATATCAGTACAATTTAAAGATAAAGGAAGTGTAATTTAGTCCTAATATATAATTCCATAATTCAAGTGCAATCTCCAAGATCAAACTAATAAGTATGTTAAGAAATAAAATTGAATAAAATTGTCACTTGTTGAAGCAACAAATAAGAGAAAGAAAAAACAAGTAACCTAAGCCTATGCAATCACATCCAATATTACATTCAATCATCAAATAATAAGTCATAATACTTACTTGTGAATGAAAGAAACTAGCCAATTCATCAGGAATTTTTCCTTCCTTCATTATCATATATTGGATGATGTTAAGTAATTTTTGTGTTTGAGCTATGAACATATGTAATCATTGTATTGATTAATGTTGATAATTAGTTGTGGTATGTGGGTATGTTACTAATATGATTGTGATTTATGTATGAATTGATTAATGTGATCCTTATGCTACTGATTGTTAATACCCAGTAGATAAAATTGAGCTTTTTAATTACATGATTGAGAACAATCAATGACTTATATTATATAATATTGTCATGTGTATTGCATTAGGTCTTATTTAACATGTATCATGTGCATACTTGTTTGAAACTGCTGGATATGAAATACACCGTCAAAGAAAGTTCCCTTGTGTAAAAGCTTCAGGATTAGTCCTTAAGGCCAGTCAAGTTTGTGAAACCCTGTTTCCACCCATTATGTGCTTAGGGTAGAGCTTGAAAGACTTTGTTATGCTAACAAGGCCCTAGGTGTATATCCTCCTAGTGAGAGTGCGATGATAATGTGACCTGACATGTACTCATAAGCTACAATATGTGTTGTCTTATGACAATGCAACACATGATTTGATTGGTGCCACATGCATGAGTAATTGTAGTTCATGTCCATTGCATCATGCATGTGAATGATTCTATGTGTTAAACTCATGATTTTAATGAAGGGATATATGGTATTATTTGTTCTATTAGAATTTGTTATTTTATCATAACTTGCTTTATTATTATGTTGCTGTTAAAATCCTTGTTTATTGTATTATTACTTGTGTTTGATTATCCGGCTATATTTTACGCCATGAGTGAGGGTAAGATGTTTTTCACTCTCCTTATTTTGTATTTGTCTCTATTGTATGTTATTACAAGTGATTTATATCATGATGTTGAAAATGTTGGTGATAAAGCTTAATCCTTATTATTAAATTTATGCTCTAATAAGTTGTGACATTAAGGATTAGTTAAGATTTACTTTCTTTTGTTATGCTTTAGAATAGTTGTTGTAACGTCTAATTGTATACATATTAATCCCAATATTTTACGTCTCTCTCTCTCTCTCTCTATATATATATATATATCTTGCATCATAAAACTTTGTGAAAACCTGGGATTCGTAAGCCTGACTCGTCAGGTGTGCCCTTGATACCCAGTATTGTGCGGATTACCGCCGCGTAAATCTGGTTTTAATTGTTGCATGCTCATCTGCATATTCCTCCTTTCTCGTTTTCCCTAGATCCACCACCGGGTCATCTGGTATCAGAGCCTGATGGGGAAGTAGGAATTTATGGCTAGATCTAAGTTTACTTTTAATATTAAAATCATGTTATAAGGCTATTGTGTTCTGGATCTATGAATTTTGGTTTACCTTTTATTGCTTTATTTAATTTCTGTTTTATAAATTTTGTGAACTTTTATTTGGATCTGAAGATGGTCCATGGTGTTTCTGGAATGGGGCGCGATGCAGTAAGGCCTATGGAAAGGCAGTAAGTCAAGGAGTTTATGCGCTGACCGTAGATCACCATGAATGATTATCAGATCTGAAAACCTTTGTAAAGATTTCTTTGAAATGGTTTATTGGCTGGAAAACTCTGGATCTTCTGGTTCAGAAGAGTGTCTCTTGAACACCCCCAGAGAGACTCGTTACTGGGTCACCAACAACGCCACGAACTAAAAAAAAAAAAAAAAAAAAAGGTTAAATTTTATATAAAAAAAAACAAGTTTAATTTATTTATGATATAAAATGTTTTTAATATCTTATATAAATTTTTAGATGATAATTTATTTTAAAATATATTTTATAATACAAATTCAAAATAGAATATAAATCTTCCAACCTTTCCTATTTTAATTTTTTAATCAACATATACAATCTTAAAATCTTTATTATTTTGATATTTTTAATCAACGTATACAATAAATAGAAAGTACAAAAGGTAAACATGCATTGTACAAATTTTATTTTATCAAAAAATATTTTTTTTAACATATTACTTTATATAATTGAACATTAATATATATATATATATATATAATATAATTAAACTTTTTTAAAAAAACTAATTCATTATTAATGGGTATTCTTTATCACATATGAGAACTAATCTCCTTAAAAAATTTAAAAAATATTAAATAAATGAATACCTCCTTCAAATTTATATTTTATACATATGATAATTTAACCAGATGTCCCGGTGGTGGATCTAGGGAAAACGAGAAAGGAGGAATATGCAGATGAGCATGCAACAATTAAAACCAGATTTACGCGGCGGTAGTCCGCACAATACTGGGTATCAAGGGCACACCTGACGAGTCAGGCTTACGAATCCCAGGTTTTCACAAAGTTTTATGATGCAAGAAATAAAAGTAGAAGAAAGAGTAATACAAAATTGTTGTATTGATTGAACAAGAAGATACAAAGGCAAGAGAGAAGGAGGAGGTTCTCACTCTAGACTCTCTTTTCGCTAACCGGTGCCACTCTTCTAGGCAGGATACAAATTTATAGAAAACTTAAAGTTACTATTACAACAGTGATTACTATTACAACAGTAAAATGAGTTTTCCGCTACAGTGAACAGTACACTTCCGCTTCCGCTACAGTGAACAGTACACTTCCGCAAAATGAGCAGTAATTGTTGACCCTGGGTTGTTGACTTCTTTCGTCAGGATGACGTCAGGATGTCGTCAATATTCAGAGCCGGAATAGTGCTTTAACAGCGATTGGAGGAACTCAGTCTTCTTCAGATGCTTCATCAAGGTTGATTCCGAAGCAATCATCTTCATTCTGGAAATATGACCCGGATGAAGAGGATGGAGAAGAGACTTCCTTCTTGGCTTTTCCTTTCGACGAACTGGACTCCGAGTCTGTCTGCAGGAGTTCAAGAATTTGATGAAGATTTGTCGCTAAAGCTTCATCATTTGTGGATGCTGCAAGGGCTGCTGCGATCTTAGCCTTTCGATTAAGAAACTGGCAAGTTTCTGGATCAGCGGCCTTGAGGCTCTTTGGATTCTTTTGGAACCAAAGCGCTACTCCTTGTGTATTGGCTCGGGATGCATCAAACTGATCCCACCATTTGACAGAGGCTTGCTTGCCTAAGATTGGAAGAAGCTTGGAGGTCTTCTTGAACTGGTGTTGCCAGGCAAAGATCCAAGCTAAAGAGAACTTTGAGAAGAAATGAAGAGATGTATGGAACTGGCTGGTCCCCTCTTCAAACCTTGATTTGAACTGATTATATCCTTCTCTGATGTCTGGGGGAAGGATACTCAGGATAGGTCCAAAATACTCCCACCACTCGGCGAACCATTGTGGAAAGAAATACCGAATATTTTGTTTAAAATAAATAAGCCAGGAGTGCCTGTGGTGTTTGTTTTGAAACCAAAAAACATTTGTCCAGGCATTAAGATAATCCCAGTAATTGTACCCAATTGGGTCAAATGGCTGAGAAAATTTTCTGACTTGATTGGGTTTATTGTCAAAATCTTTGAAAGTCAAAATTTTGAGGATTTGAATTGTTGAGTGCGTGATAAGCTGGTTATCATTTTTGTCAAAATTGTGTTTAATTGAAACAGATTTGGAATCCACCAGTATGAATTCGTAAAATCTCCTTGTCTTGATAAGACTAAGGGGTTTGAAAAGAAAACCTGGTGGAAGGATTTTTTCGCAAATCTTGTTTGGATTTGGATCCCAAAATTCGGGTTCCATTTGGATTGTAGGATAAAACCTTCCTTCTTTTGGTAGATAGGAAGATGGTTGTTTTTGGGCAACTGGCTGAGGCTGCTCAACCAAGTCTTCTGATTTGGAAATTTTTGAAATAATTGATTTCAGATATGGGTCAGGTTCTTCTGCAAGAATCTGTTTCCAGGCCTTGGGAGGTTGTTTTTGGGTGATTGGTTGAGGCTGCTCGACCAATTCTTTTGGATGTAAAGTTACCTTTGATTTGGAAATTTCTGAAATAATTGATTTCAGGTTTTGATCCCAGAAGAGGTCATTAGGTTCTTCTGAAAAAATTTGTTTCCAGGATTTGGAAGGGAGGTTGGTTAACCCACAATCCTGAAGGGCTAGAAGGGTTGGAAGTGCCATGGCATAGTCCGATGGCTTGGTTTGATGGGTAGATGACCCTGCTTTGGTTTGCTGAGTAGATGACCCAGCGATTGGTTTGTTTTGCTGAGATGACCCAGCTCGGGTTAATGACCCTTTGTCTGAGGTTTCTGAGGAAACCTTGATTGATTTGTCATCCTCAATTGAGGATGCTGATTTTGCTGGGCGATTTGGTTTGCCCAGAACGATTCCCTTTCCCCTTCCCCTAGAAGAGGATGATCGCGGCCTTAATTTAGGCGTCATTGCATTCTGTCTTTCCCTGTAGAAATTCACGGGTAAGATAGTCAGGTAAAGTGTTTGAGGTGCCTTTGATATATTCAATGTCAAAATCAAAAACACTTAAAATTGCTTGCCAGCGGGCAAAGATTTGTTTTGATGCTAAATTTTTAACATCTTTTTGCAAAATATCTTTGGCTGATTTACAATCAACACGGACTAAAAATTTTTGATTCAACAAATCAGATTGAAATTTTGAAATACATAGTACAATGGCCAAAACTTCTTTTTTAACAGTAGAATAATTTTGTTGGGCCTTGTTCCAATGTTTTGATGTGAAAGCAATGCAATTTTCAGAATCATGCATGGCTTGTTTGAGAACACCTCCATAACCAATATCAGAGGCATCAGTTTCGACAATCTTTGGGAGATTGGGGTTGGGTAGGTATAGACAGGGTAAAACTTTAACCTGCTGTTTGATCTGTCTGACCACATTGGTATGGACAGTAGTCCATGGAGGGGGAGATTTCTTGAGCCTTTCATGAAGAGGTTTAATTATGTTACTGAGTTGAGGAAAAAAATCAGAAACATAGTTTAAACAACCAAGAAATCTTTGAAGTTGTGTCTTCTCAAGAATCTGATTGGGAAACTTATCAGCAAACTCTATGACTCTACATATTGGTCGGATAGTTCCCTGAAAGATTTCATGACCAAGAAACTTGA